AAAAAGAAAGTAAAATGGAGAGAGAGAAAATAGCGAGGATATAAAAGAACCGAAGAATAGGAGAATCAGCAGTCAGTTGAAGTAGAAGAAATTAGAAGTTATCTTAGAAGGAGAGAGAGAAGAGTTACCTCGGTAAAGGGATAAAGCAGAAGATATTAACGGTTACAGTGGAACGGTTATATTCCAAATACTTTTATTATTTGTGCACGTTTCAATATCGTATTTATTACGTTCATATCGTTTTATTCTTCATCGTGTGTTCATACTTTTATTCAAATAAACATCGGTGAATCCGTAACGTTATATTTCAATTCATTATTTTCTCTACGACTCATTAGCAAAGTAAAATATTTCGTTACACTCATCCTTAGTATTAGTCTATAACTGGCATGTGGATTCAGTGTAAGCGAAACACGATTAAAATCTATTTTAAAAAATCTTTTAACTTAAAATATATTTGAAAATAAAGATTCCTTGTTCAAGAACAGCGACATGTTACTTTCTTCTCTCATAAGTATTGTTATGAGTACAGGTTAAGAATAATATGCATTTGAAAAATGATATATTTAAATACCAATATCGAGGATTGATTTAAGGGCCCCCTCAGAAACGAACTTTGCTATTTTTCATCCGATTTCAACCAAAATTTCCGAGAATGTTAGTCTTGACTAGAATAGCTTATAGTTAAAATATCTTCCCCAAATCTCGAAGAAATGCACAAGTTCTAGTCAATTCATTACCCTTTACGCGGACAAGGATTTTGCAATAAGGATACGAGCTAACAAGCTCGGACGGTTTTCAAGTTGTAGAGTACCCTTAGGGCTAGGACTTAACAGGCTCCGATTTTTGAATTTCCCTTTATTTGATTTTTAAAAAAAATTTTTCGAAAAATATTCGAATTCGAAGTGCTCATAGAAATGAAATATCCAAGTATTTTATTTCAGTAAAAGACAAATTTAAAAATCGGAGCCTGTAAAGTCCTAGCCCTACATGTCTCCTATATAATAAAAAAAATTATCACTTCCATGTCGAGTCGTTATGGAGAAAAACCTGCCCGCGTAAACTGCATGACGAAAAAACTAATTTTGAGAAAAACGAAAAATAAGTATTAGAAAGCGATTTTTCCGAAAATAACTTGATTTATATATCAACGTCCAAGACAGGCTATAAATATGTGATCTTAATATTATGTTTTAATAGTCTCATAGTAATTAGTATAAAAAAAAGACCTTACGAAATGCTGATGCAAAGAGAAAGGAGCGTAAAAAGTCAAAAAACCTTGAAAAAACACCATGAAAATTTCTCGAAAAATGTGATAGTAGAAGCCACGTTTTAGGCGATAAGTTCGTCAAAATCAATTCATTTTGCGCTAAACCATAGATATTCTGAAAGAGGAGACTTCGTTGCATCTTCCTATGATAAAACTTCAATTTCGGCTTATCTTTGAAAAATTGGATTTTCTGAGGGGGGCCCCCCCTTAAAAAATAAAGAATCATTATTTATGATTGAAAATAATTTTAAGAAGTTTTTCTAAAGAGAAAGAACTTCAATGAGATCAATAATGACAACAGTTGAGTCAAAATGAAAGTAGTTTTAAATGTTTTTCAATATTCTTACTATAGCCCATTGAAAATGGAGCGACATTTGGGCAAGAACATTTGCATCACCCTCATCCTCAATTATTCTCCAATGACAAATACAGACCATACATTATTTTGCTTCAATATCTGTTGATGACATAAATTAACATATCATTAGTTTACAATCAAGAACAGTGTTCTGTAAAACAAACTATATTTATCCTTTTTGATGAGATTTTACACTGTCCAGGTGAACAAAAAAAAATAGATTATATTAATTCTGTAAAAATAGTTGCTATTTGATAGAAATAACGTATTTCACTTATTCAATAGACAAAAAATTCAACATTCATTCATTGTATACTATCTATTTTCAAAAATGAAGTCAACATCGTTGATATTTATGTCTAACTCACTTACGATAAATACCGAATCATGGTTTATTCCGTTGGATATTGTGACGATAGTGTCTATTGCTTTAACCATTGGACTTGCAATACTTATTTTACTAATTATTCTCATTGATAAAACATGTCATACAGTTCCAATGATGTTAATTGCTAATTCATGTTTAGCTGAACTTATATGTGCAAGTGATTCACTTGGTATGACTATTTTCACATTACATAATGATCTTCAACAAATTCCGTATCCAGATTCAATGTGTATATTTCGAGGCTATTTAAGTTATGCTTCATGTGCTGTAATGAATTATTCTTTTCTTTTACAAGCTATCTATCGATATGTTGTTGTTGTTTATCCAAATTATTTAATTTTTCAATCAACTCGATTTCAATTATTCTTCATTTGTGTAACATGGACCTTGGGTTTTGTATACCCTATCGGATTTATGTCCAATGGTAATATTACTTATGATGTTGACAACCAAATCTGTCAAATATCTCTTGGACTTTCCTTTCCAATGATTTTTGTAGCACTTTGTATCTATACAATTCCCATTTCGTTGATAATGTTTGTCTATTTCAAATTAGTTCGATATGTTAAAACGATAAGTAACCTTGTAACACCTGCAAATACATTAATTCGTGCTCGACGAGAATTAAACATGTTCCGACGTATAGTTATATTTGTAACGATTCTAGTGGTACTTGGTATTCCATATATAACCTTTATTTGTATGTCATTTTTTATTAGTCCTCCAAAATATCATCTCCGAATTGCTTGTAGTGCAATATATGTCTCATTAGCATGTGTGATCATTGCTTTATTTCAACTCACACCACCATTGAAAACTTCTATAATGAAACTAATAAGTGGTCGACGAAATAAGATAACACCAACCGTAGCATTCATCATAGGAAAAACTAATACTTAATTGATGTTGTATTATATTTTTTATTATCCGTATCGCATTGAAATAAAACATGAAAATGCAAATTAAAATTAATTAATGTACCTGTTCTGAAACTAATCAAGAATGTCTTGAAAGGAGATAAAGTATAATGTGCTCCTTTTAAAAATAATTATAGAGTTTCATGTACTAAAAAATCATCAGTCTAGAAATGTATGTCATATTTAAACCCAAATCAACCGTTAGATTCGAATATTCTCAATTTTTGCATAGACTTTGCTTCTATTTTTCCATTTTCTGTAGTAAATGAGAATTAATATCTGAGTTGCCACAACGTTCATTCAAGATATCTTTTCCACCTTAAATGATGTAGTCTATATTGACAGGCAAAATATACTACCTAATGAATATTTGCCGTATTCAGATCTTTTTGTGTACTCAAAAAGTGAGTACACTATAGAATCGGTCAGTGAGTCCATCCGGCCGGCCGGCCGTTTACACGATAACTTTTGAAAGGAGAGTCCAATCGCGATGAGATTTTCTACACAGTTCAGTCTTAACAATGACTCAGTCGAATTCGAAGATGAGAAGAATTGGCTGAACCATTCCTGAGTTATTGCAAAAATACTCATTTTTTCCTATGGCTTCCTATGCGAAAATCGACCCATCCCCGCTTTCGTAAAAAACTTTTCCTATCATACTCAAAATAAAACCCCAACTATTATATACCATTCGATAGAGAATTTCACGAGCTACAAAATGGTATATAAAGCATTAAAAATTTGAGCCCAAACTTTTGGGCCAAGAAAAGGGATTTTTAAGAAAATAAGGATATTTTATAAAGGTTGACGAAAGTAAATCGGGGTCGGTGAATCCGAATCTGAAGTCAGATTTTGAAAATTCTGAACAAAAGTTGTTGGGTTAAGGAATTGTTTCTTCACTTTTTTATCTCATAACTTACTCACTTGGGTGTAGTGAATTTATAGATTAAACTGTTTTCTGTCCAATTGAGACCTTCTTTAGCTCAAAGGATCAAACCGTTCACGAGACAAGGTTAAAATGCCGAGCATACACTCAAGATAGTTAATTTGTATTATTAAACTGTCGAAAATATTCATCCTTGAGCGCACTAAGGAACTGCCCCTTAGGCCCTGCGGATGCCCTCTTTTTGTCCCGTAGGACGTGGCGAGGAGTTAGTTCCGGAAGTTTTATTCATTCGCATAAACTTCTTTGCTTTAGCTGAATCGTGTTTCTTTTTATAAACTCATATTAATTATGTCAAAGTGTGGTACAAATTGTTGAGGATTATCTTCAAAAGGCAAGAGAGCATCATAATGAATACCATTGTAGTAAACACATAATCCTAATTTATTCATATCGGATTTGTATCCTATGTATTTCAAACGACCACCTGCTGTCCGTTCATTAAATCGATCGATCAATTCCTCCAAGCTAATATTCGGTGATATATAATGCCTACTTTCTGGATTGTTGTTAAATCAGGTATATGAATATATAGGATGAGATAGAGCTATAGAGAGAGCTTGAATTTGAACTTCTCCACCCCATATTTTATGCTTAGCAGTTCTTTTCAACTGTTCTTCAAATGAATAAGCCAATGATTTACAAAGTGTTCGGAAATAATCGCTATTATTGATCATTGCACTTACTGCCAACAATCTCATCGAATGTGTTAGTTTTTCAGATCCAATATTTAATATCGAAAGAGAACTATATAAACAATTGCCATCTGCAGTCGTGCGGGTTCGAGCATAAACTGAGTCAAATGCTTGAACAGAATATTCTGTTTCCAATTCTAACCGGACGAATCGGTCTTTATTTTGCATAGTTATAAACGGTGATTTTTCAATTACATCATTGATTACTTGAGCTTGACTTGAAATTTGATCAGTGTCTGTAGTATTATTTAAATCAAGTACAAGAAGAAATTGATCAAGAATCTTTCTCGAGTTTGAATCAATGATTTCATAGTTTTCGGAAGAAGATTTTTCGTCAATATCCATCATATCAGATGGATCATTAACTTTGAGATCTTCCAAATGGAAAGACATATCTAAGTCAATTTGTTCGTTTTTATCGACTGTTTCATGGCATTCACAAACGAATTTCTCACCGACTTCCATCGTGTCAGATTGATCATCAGTTATAACATCTTCGATATGAAAAAGTATATTTGTACGAATGTCTTCGGTTTCATCAAAATGAAACTTAGTCAAAACTTTATGTTTTCTTATCCATATTGGTTTATGAAAACTTGTAAGACTTTCAAAATAATCAGATTTTAAATCTTTCACACTAGTAAAGCAATAGTCAATTTGCGTTTTTGCATTAGTTGAACTTTTATTTAATTTATTAATCAGAGTCAACCCGAACGACTCCATATATTCAATGAATTTGTGATTGGTTTTTATCTTCAAATTTATATTGAAATCACCAACAACAATTATATCTTCACAGAATCTTTTTGAAATAGATATAACTTCATTAATATGTCGTTTTAAGACATCAAATGATGAATTTGGTGAATTGTAAACGGAAATAATACAAATATCATCAATTTTTATTGAGCAATATTCAATATGGTCTTTTTCTGAATATTCACATCTTTCGGTGATATTTTCATACTTCAAATCACTTTTTAAGTAAGTGATTTGACCGAATGGTTTTCGTGTATCATTACAATCACGTCTGTGAATTACTTTAAAACCTTCAATTTCCAAAGAATCAGTAGGTTTTGTCCATGTTTCAACAAGACTTATCATAGAAGCACACAAAAATGTTTTGTCAGATCTGATATCCAAAATATGTTTATTCAATGATTGTACATTATGAAACATCACGAAAAACCTTTCTCCTTGAGATTCTTCAGGAAATTCAAGTGAAAATTTCAGCATTTGTTCGGATCTCATGGTATTGAACATCATCGCCACTGCATCATTACGTTCAGGTGGTTTTGGTGGAACGAAGTCGCCAATTAAATATAAACCAGTTGCTTTTGTTGCACGACTACAAGCGACGTATAATTCAGTTCTTGTCATTCCTTTCTTTAGATTGACAACGAATTTTTCATAAGTGCCACCTTGACTTTTATATATCATCATTGCTTCACAAGGAACTACAGAAAACTGTTTACGTTCTACTTTGAAATTTGTTGACCTTGTATTTATTTGCCATGTTACTGGTTCAACTGGTGTGAGACTGAGATCAATATTTCTATTTCGCATTACATTTTGAAAATTAGCTCTGGTTTTTCTTCCAGCTTTCTGTTCATTAAATTTAATCCATAGTCTACATGGTACCGTCTCATTAGTCTTTTGAAGCTTTCCATAATCAATCATTATCAATTTTCCACAGGCGCTATTTACTAATCCATCTTCAGTGTCAATATTCACTGTCATCATATACTTAGCGCCCACTTTCAAATCAATTTTAAGTGGTAAACCGTAAGTTTCAGTTGTTTTCAGATTTTTTACGTTGTTTAGAACTTTTTCTCTTATTGATGCAAGTCCATCACCAATACAAAAATCATAAGCATTAGCGATTGCACCTTCGGTATTAAGACTGGCCAATACTTTTGTATTATATGCATCAACTTCAGCATTACTTCTAAATACCCTTATTGCATCTCCCATGATTTCCAAATTTTCATTTGAAATAATTCGTGATTTTAATAAATTAATATCTTCAAGTGTCATCATTCCTTTTGCTATATTACTTAATGCAATGGCAAAAGCCTTATCATCTTTTTCGGCATGGCCTCGCATCGGTCACCCTACCCGGAGGAAGGTTTATACGCACTAAAAATAAAGAAAACTCTCTCGAAATCCAAAATTTCACTACTAACAGATTATGAAACACGTTGCAACTTCTGAGATACGATGTTGATTGGTTATATAAACCGTATTTTTCCTCCAATAAGTGCCTAAAAATGGATTTTTTGACGAATTTCACCAAAAAACTATCCGTTCTGAGTCCCATTATATTTCATTTTTTGTCCAAAAAACAGGCAGAATTTTAATGTCATTCTGCTTTGAACGTGAAGCTGATATTCTCGCGCGATAGAACTATCTCTGTACTATTCGCGGACACGAGAAATGATGGGTTTTCATCATGATAATTAAAAGCTGTAAGGTCCCTAACCGTCCTCATTAGAAAGTCAAAAAATGATGAAATTCCGTAACGAAGTGAAATTCTGTAACGGCTAGTATTTACAGTTATTTGATTTGGTACAGTTATGCTTTCTAGGAAATGAATTGATATTTTGAAAGCTCATGGAAAACTGAATAACTTTTATATAGAGCATTTATTTGTATGTCGTTTCGTGATGTAGTAAAATGCTTAACTTCTGCATCACCCTAAAAAAAATTTCCATTTTATGAAATTCCGTAACGGTCAGTATTTGTTGAATAACTCAACTATGACTAGACAGAAATACATAAAATTTTTACTGATAATAGATCTCAGCCATCTCTATCTATGATAAAAATTTTAGCAAGTTTGCCTTGATTTTTGAGAAGCTACAGGTGTCACAATATGAAAAAATGAAATTCCGTAACGCGCGGCCACGCCCTTTTGTCTCATTATTTCTGTCAATTCGAACAATTCAAAAAGTGACCATAATGGATTATCCACTAAAGCATTATATGAATTGTTAAATTGAAATATATATTTATCGCCAACTGGCCTTAATTGATTGAAATCGCCCAAAACTGTAACGGATATTCCACCAAATGGTTCTTTTGACTTCATTATTTGCTGCAGGCGAGCATCGACCTGCTGAAACATTGTAAAACCAACCATTGATATTTCGTCTATTATTAGTAATTGCAAGTCTTTCAATTTTACTCCAATTCTATTTGAAACATCGCTGTCTAGTTTAACAAGTTTATGTTTGTATTGATTAACTGGTAAACTTAGAAATGAATGCAAAGTCATTTCGTCAATTAATGCTGCTGCTTTGCCAGTTGGCGCGCATATTGCGACACGAATAGTTTCTGAATTAGATCCTGGAATAGAATTGTAAAATCTTAATATCAACTGGTATACTGCTTTGATCAAAGTACTTTTGCCAACACCTGCACCTCCATTAATGAAATGGAAAAATTGCTTATCACCGTCTTTAATCAAATTCATCACATTTAAAGTGTATTTCTTTTGACTGCTATTGAGACTTCTCATCAATCGCTGATAATCAGCATCTGGTATCATTTTGGGAACATTAAAATGTTCGACTTTTCCAGTTGGAGTATTTATTCCCATTTCAACAAAGATATCGCCTTCATTATTTCCTGTTTCATAAATAAGAAATTCATTTTTATCTTGATCATATTCAATATTTGTATCATCAATATCATCGTCATTTCCTCTTTCTGTTTGCTCTTCAAAAGCTTTTTCGAATTCATTAGCTTCACGATGAACATATTCAGATCTTTTTTATCGAATCAAATCTTTATGTAATTCAAATGTCTCTTCATGATTTATATAAATAAGATCCTCTTCCTCATTACTCCATGGTAGAAATAGCATCAGCTGCTCTCTGTAATAATTTTCAGGATCTTTATGTAGCTTAAAGTTTCTGAATCTTATTATTTTTTTCTTTGTTCTTTTTTTAATCCATCCTTTTCCATTTTCCATCTTTAGAGCAACACTTTTTTCATCAATTTCATTGTCAATGACATCTTCATCATCAGAATTTTCCGTAATCTGAACGTTGTTTGTTTGTTTTTTTGATACATTATGCAATGAAGTAAAATCAGCCAAACAGATAATTTTCATTTCTTCAGGCCTATTTATATACATATCAATTAAGCCTTGAACAAAAACATCTTTTGAATCAGGCTCCAGTTTCTGAAGAACTTCATCTGATTTGACCATAGAAATTCTGTTTTCGGGTCTATTCGTATTAATAAATACAGTACTTCTGCTGCTGGTTGAAAGTGGAATACTTAAAATATGATAGACAGCTTCTTGTGCTGAAATTTCACTTGAATTCAAAAATTTATTTGCAATAACTCTAAGACGTTCTCTGACTGTATTATTCCCTTTTTTACCTCATTCAATGCTTATCTTAGAAGGTTAGACATTCCATTTTCAGATTTGCTAATGTAATCAACACAATACATTGAGCATGCATAAGGATCAAGAATGAACTGAATGTCCATATTTGCTTTGTGCAATGACATTATCATTGGATTGTATGCATTGATTCTGATTTCATTTGGAGCACGTTTCAAGAATACTTTCGTTTTTTTTAATCCAGCTCGAATCATTTTAATATATTCTTCTTCATTCATATCTACATGTTCCAAGAATTCTTCGAAAGTTAATGAATTATCTGAATCCTTTGATATTTTGTCAAGTTCTTGAACTACATTTCGTCTTTTTTTTACCTATCTCTTCACGTTCTTTCTTAGTTAACTTTTCATCGTTACTGAATGGCTCTAAAATCATCGTTTTTCTCATTGGAAAATATGGAATACCAAAGCGACATTCAATGCCATCCTTTACGTGTTTTTTACAGGTATGTGAGTGCTTATGACGTTGCAAACATATAAGGTCTTCAGAAAAGTCAGTTGGCTTAGCGTTGACCGAAATTAGTTTATCAATAAATTCCGTATATCTTTCGATCGATTCAGGTTTCTCTTTATCGTATTTCGGAGCATTTTTTAACCACAGTAGAGCATGAATATGTGGCGAGCCGCGGACTTGGAATCCAACTCTGACATATTTATCTTCTAATTCATAGCCTTGAAATGGACCCCAAGGTGCCGATAATATCTCCCATAAACATTTTAATCTATGTTCCAAATAACGAACGCATGCTACAAGATCATTTCTTATCAAATCACATTTCTTTTCATAGCTCATATTTTCTGCCTCCTCTAATGTTATTACTTTATTTTCCAACACTTGAGTTAATATTACAATTAGTTCTGACCACTTTGTCTCTGCTGCTGATAATGTTAGAAAAATAGTTGCACATCCTAATTGCCTGATCATTGCCATAACCTCCTTTTTCTTTAGTTCCCAGAACGCTGGTGAAGATCGATCACATCTCAAGAATGTAAAAGCATCATCATTATGAATAAATCCATTGACATAATCTCGATTGAGCATTTGCGCAACAGTTATGTTTTTTGTATTTTTTTGTCTTTCTCAACTTTATTGAAATAGCATCGGAGAACTTTCTCGTTTGTAGTTTCTTATATGTGAAAAACAATTTCGATATTCTACCACATCTTCGATCAAACATTCTTAATTCTGACTTGGCAATCTTAGCATAAGTTAATTTAACATTCGCTTTGATTTTTCTTTGCTTGCCACAATAAATTTTCGGAAATGTTAATTCATCGACTTTTAAATCCATTAGAATCGATATCGGTCTGTTATTCTCTCCTGGAGCAAATTTGATACCAATATCATTCTGATCACCAATCTCGTCATTTAATAACGTTTCAGTAGTACTTGGATTGACTGGTTTATCGTCACATTCATTCCATTTCTCCTCGTCATCAAAATCTTTGCTGATGTTTTCATTTTCATCGAATTTCTTATCTTCATCATCGATGATAAAATTCTCTCTCTCGTTAGAATATTCTTTCAGCCAATCATGAGATATCACAATGCCTTCATCCTTATACAGTTCTTGCTCAACCAAATATTTTACAGCAGTATGCACAACTTTTGGTCGAATTGTTTCATACATAAAAGCATTATTATTTTTCATTTGTCTCATGAGTTTCAATTGAGTCGTGTGAGTATCACTGAAACTTCTAGGCAATACTGGAACATTCGTATCAACATTTATGGGAACATTTACAAGGTTACCCTTGAGACCGAATTGTTTACAAGAACCTAAACTTCGAATAACCATAAAAGGAATTCTTGGTGATATTAATCTTTCTTCTAATTCAGTCAAGATTTTCAAACAATTCGGTACTTCATAGAATGCTAAACCATTAGATAGACTGAGATTAGGTACCTTATTGGACATGATGTCCTTTCTACAAGTGACACATAATTTAATGATCGCATGTTTTAGATAACAAACTGTATCAATAAATTCTGCTTTTAATCCTTTGTTTGTTAGCATCTCAACTGTATATTCTCTGATTGAATACTCAAACCATAAACCACCGCAACAACTACAAATATGAGTAGGTCCTTCTTTTATTTTTGATTCATAATTTGATTTCATGCCATCAAAATTACTTTTGTATTTATCTCTATTATTGTGTATTCTTAATGCATTTCTTCTTCTCTCTTCTTCTTTGAATTCATCATCTTGTCGTGCAATTTTATGAGAGTTTGCTCGTCTTCTATTGTCTAACAAGCGAAATTCATCATCAGTTCTTCTTTCTCTCATTCTTCTTGTTATCTCAGCATTTCTCTGAGATATAGATCTTTTTTAAGCTTTGGCATTTCTTCAAACTAGCTCAAAATACTTTTGATATGATGATTTTTTTCCGGGCCGTAGATAATGAAATAAAATACGATCAAATTAGTCATTAAAATTTTAAATGAAAGCAGCTTCTGACTCAGATTACGCACGTGTATATACCGAGTGCGTCTTCTACTTAGTGAGACACGCGTTTATCTCTAAACTTAGTGAGATAAAAAAATGCAAAAGTTTCTTTCGAGATAAATCTTTGTTAAGACTTGATGAAGAATATGAACTCGATACGAGGAAGAAACTTTAGAGAATCAACAACTTGATAATCTTTTTTGAATAAAAAAAATCCAATTTTTATTTCTTTTATTTGAACAAAAAATTCGATTTTTATTTCCTTTATTTGATTGAAAATAACTAAAATCTAAAAATGAAAAAAAAAAAACTAATGAGGATGATTTTAATAACGGAAAGAATTTCATTTATAAATGAAAATAAATGCTAAATTAAATTTTGATTTAGTTTGTATAGATTGTCTTTTATTGAGTTCAAGATATGAATCAAAAACAAAGGAATGATTGAAACAAGTATATATGTTTGAGATAAAACTTCTTTTTATTCGATACAAGAGAAAAAATGGTTATAAACAATTTTTTTCATAAGTGTACAATATGTTTTTTTAGATGTCTTTTATTCATCTGATGAAGAAAAAAAACGTCATATTGATGTTGTTATTAGTAAATGACGAACAAGAAAAGTTTTATTTATTTTTTTTTAAGTTTCTATAAATAATTCGGCACTAAAATGAAAAATGTAGTTTAATTTAAGCCAAATAAAAAATTAATTAAATCATACATTGTTGATTTCAAAATATCTTTCAATATTTCCATTTGTTGTTCATTATTTTCTTTTTTTCTAGGAATTTTTGGCAATTGAGAAATACTCTTGATATTTCTCTCTGTTATTTGGATATTAACAGCTTCAAGACCTTTATTTGCTACAAAACAGAGAAGTATAATTTATTTTATGATGAAAACCAGTTAAATTACTTTTGATTACATCGAATTTACATTTATCCGATAAGAAAAACTTTCTTGGATAAGATTGGTTGATAATCGATGCTTCTCGAGCAAATATATCTTTGTACTGATTTTTATCATTACTGCAAAATATATGAGATAGAAGGTGAAAAAATGAGAATAGATGATAATTACCGTTTAAGAAAAGCATAATGCTTAACTCAATTCACTGTAATGATTGTTCCATGAACTCCTGTTTCTGAGAAAAGACTTTCTTTTTAGTTTTTTAACTTTCAAGATGTATTACCAACAAGAACAGATTCATTGTTTATAGGAATAAGTACTTTATTTTTGCTTCGAATGATTGTTTGGTCATTATTATCAACCATAACTCGTCGATCATCACCAACAATCATTGGTTCATCATCATCAGTAATCACTGAGTCCTTGACAAATGAATCTCCACCTGTATGTGCCATTAATTTATTCGATTTGTTTTTGTTATTCAATTTGAAATATTTCTACTGATGATCATTTTAAAGTTGATTTAGAAGTTTTATTCCGTTTTTCAACAAAAAAAGGAAGACTTTGTTGAATAAAAAAAAAGCTTTTTTACGAAAATAAAGCAATTGCTTTAAAAACAATTGAAAATGATAAATAATCCAAACGATTATTTGAACAAGAAAAAAATATCTATTCACTTTCTTTTATTCCACATAAAAATATTTTAAAATATTTTGATTATTCAATTAATAATCAATTATTTCATCTTTTATTTGAATATTAGTGTTATTTATAATTTTGGTATGTCAATTCAAATTCAACAATATTAATATATGGTTTAAATTAACAACAACTTGTATTTCTTTTCTCTTTCTTTTGAATAAAAGTCTTCAACTAAAATAAAATAAATTGGATCACCTCGTTATATGTCTCCAGAACTTTTAGCTGGAACTATTGAAGGGTGTGGAAATATCTTTACTTAAATGTGATGTTTATGCACTTTGAATTGTCCTTTGGAAATTTTTATTAAGATTTCATTTTCAAAGTAAAACTAAATCCTTTTAAAATAAAAATTACAGATAAAATTATAAATATTGATGTAAATAATTGTATATATCCATTTGAAGAACCATTAAAAGAATTAAATTTCAGTCTCAATAATCCAACAGTAAATAAAATGAATTTAATTAATCATTTAAAAAAACAAGAAACTATCCGTTAACTACTCTGCAGCTATAATGGCCGGCTTGCTAATCAGCGTAAACTCCTTTATTTTAAGTCATTCATTCCTTAGCAGCAGTCTTTATGAGTTGTATCTTCAGTAGTGTATTCGTTTCTCGTTCTAGTTTTGCTGCGCATGATGTAAAATATTTAGGACAAAATAGGAACGGAAAAAAATGAATGTACATTTTCGCTTTTTGAAGTACACATAACACTCGGATGCAAATCCGATGTTTCCGCATTTATTTTATAATCATCTTTTTAGATCTTTCACTTCTGGATTGATTTCGCTTGGATTCCTATCGAAAAAAAACTTTCCATTATTTTTATGAATATATTTTTCGAAACACCAACAAAGAATATAATTTGTCATACCTGTTCGGCCAATCACTCCAATCTTTTCCTTGGATTCAACTCGTAGATTAATACTTTTCAGTGCAGGATCCAGTTCTGGTCGATAGCGAAATCTGTAGTCTTTGAATTCGATAATACCACGAGAACACCAATCATCTGGTGGTTGAACGAGTACTTTAGTTTTACTATTGTTTTCATTGCTTTCTGGCACAAGTTCACCATATTCATGAATACGTTCAGTATTAGTCATAAGGTTTTCAGCTTCGGCTGATTGTCGTACAGCCCATTGGAAGAGATTTGTTACAATGATGCAGTAGGTGATGCTAAGAGCGGCTGCCGATGGATCGATTGTATGACGTAACACTACCGAAAGAATAGCAGTAACCAATGTGATTACGGTTACTATATGGCTGAGTTGCATACCAAACCATTGGCCAGCACATAAAAGAATAAAGTAAGATCGAAAATTCGCATCAATTCTTTCCATAAACATGTTTATGAAATCATCTTGAACTTCAAACGCACGAATACTAATGAGTCCGTCTAGTGACGATGAGAACAGCGCATAAACTGGACTACGAGTTGCACTTTCAAGCCATTTGATTTGACAACTTGACCGTAAATAGAATCGGCGAAGCCACCAAAATGCAGGAATCAATGAAACGAGAACGAGAAGCACCCATGGATTGATAATTCCAATTGTTACAACAGTACCGAGAGCTATCAGTACATTTTAGATACCGTCGATCAAAGTCAATCGCAATAATTCATCTAAGACTTGCTGATCTTTACTTGCTCGATTTAATATTCGTCCACTTGGATTACTTTCAAAGAAACGTAACGAACTATACAACATACCGTTGAGCATTCGATTGTGAAAATAAGTTACTCCACATAACATAATATAGATGAGAAATCAAGCACGCACTAATGCAGCGCCCAATGTACCAAATGTCAATCCAAGATAGACATAAGCATCCACTGATGAGCTTGAGTTTGTTTCAGATTTGGTAGACCACTTAGAAAGCCAAATATTTGTAAAGTCGTACAACCTTCAGTGAAAAACAGTAAAATGATGAATATAAGAAATCCGAACCAGCTTAATGGTGGTGCGGTAAATAGTTTAATCCAAACACCCCACTGGACAGCACCATCAATTGATGCTTCTTCTATCACAATTGAATTCATATCAATTGTAGCACTATCAACTTGAAAATCAGTTTCTTTTTTATCGGATTCATCTTCTTCCTCTGTACTACTATTCGATTGTTCATCTTCATCAGATTGGGCAATATGTAATTCATCGATGTGACCTTTTGCCAAAAGAATTGTTTGATCTGCTTCATCTAAGAAATGTATCTGATGTGTAACTAATATTCTAGTCTTCTCATGAAGAAGACTACGTGGACCAATACCTTGATCAAATATTTTCTTTGCCACATTTGGATCAACAGCAGCAAGTGGATCATCGAGTAAATACAAATCTGCATCAGCATAAAGAGCACGAGCCAGCGATATGCGGGTGTGGGGTGTGGGTGTGTGGGTGTGGGTGAGTGTGGGGTGTGGGTGTGTGGGTGTGGGTGAGTGTGGGGTGT